TGTGTAACTGCTCTAGACTGATCTTTGGCCGGCAATTTAGCAGGTAACAGCTTGTTAATGGTCAATTGATTAGTGCTTAATGGGAGTATTGATTGAGGTGAGGTGGACTGTACATTTTTCATCCAGCGTCCTCAAACAGAAAGGTGCTGTGTCTCCTCAGGTCATGTGTTAAACGTTCATCATTAGCACGCTACTTTTTGCTGCTCAAATGCAAGAGTCTTACGAGATACTTCTCATAAGCTCTACTTATTCTCACACGCCGGAACAGGCAGAGAGGATTTTATTACTCGGATGGTGTCCTGACTTGCGTTGTAGCCGGTGTATGTTCAAAAGAAAGCAAGATTTCAATCAAGAGAGCACCATCACTTTCGCCGGCTTCATCGGAGCGATGGAAGGATCAAAAACCCTCGAGATGATAAGAGCACAATATATAATATATCATCACCCAACCAGACAAAAAGCCTTTTCCCTGGCTTCCTAATTCCGATCTGTATCTCTTTAGGTATAATTTTTCCTTTGCCACGCCTTCTCTTATACTCTCTCTCTAATACTGTCACTTTAGGTATGTTGCATAGTCTTAAAACGTAGCTCTCATTTACCTGGGTAACAGAGGAAGAACTTAACGCCTGGACATTGGTTCAGTTTAGCTTGCATGCAATCACAAGTGTGCGCTACCTAAGAAGCTTAGCAGCTACTTATATTGTATGTTTTGTTTTTGTTGTTATACTTTTTGCTCCGTGTGCTCCTACTACTGTCCTGTTTGTGTGCTGCTTCCTCGTAATTTCCCGACTGGACGAATAAAGGTTCACTTATCTTATATTAAAAAGCCAAAACATTTTCTGACCATACACCTTTTTCCCACTATTTGCTCTATGCTGAAGGTGCAAACTTCCTTTTTGAATAGTGTTGAATAGGGCCCAAATCTTGTCTGAAATGATGTCTCCAGACATCTTTTGTACTACTGTGCAATGATTAGACATGTATGTTGTATTGAAATCGCTTGTAATTTCTATAGCATCATGATTAGGGTACGCTAAAATGTTATTTCTCAAGTGTCAACATTCAATAAAACGATATTCTCTAAATTTCAATATAAATGAGCATCAACAACTACTTCCATAATTTCAAGGCTTAAAGGTTAAGAGTAATCGAGTGCAGTTGAGTTTGCTTGCCGCACCCAAGTCCTTTAAAAAATAAATTGATTTTTACACTGCACAATTGTCTATCTGCTTTACTTTTCCACACATTTGTTGCAATTATTTAACTCTCAACCAAACCGCTCAAAAGCATAAAGCTGATGCTTATAGATTTGATGTGATATTATTGCCTAGCTCGTGGGTGCCTATAGAGGTACACCTTCAGCATCACTATGCATGAGATGGCCCATTGAACAAGCACTGTATGCCTCGGGAATGAGAATAGCTAGCTTGGCGCTCCTTTTAGTAATATGTGCCCATTACCATTTGAAGATTCCAGGTAAAATGAAATGGTCTACACACAAAATGTGGGTCTATCTGTCTATGCTCCAGACAGGGCACGGTCTCCAGACAATCAACATGTCTCTGGTAAAAAATGGGAGAGCCCCGCAGCCACGCCATCCATCCGTCATCAGCAACTGTTAAGGAAATTTAGGAGCTTAATTTTGTCGTTGCCGGCGCTTGGTACGGCCGGTGATTCAACATTGTTATACCAGAGAGTGATGTCTGCTGTAAGTGATGAGTATACGGGACGCCATTTCTCACCAGGAGCAATGTTCTCTGCTGCAGCACTTAATGATGGCAAACCACTGCTTTATCAAACTGGGGAATACGCCAGTGTCAGACATTTTAAAGCTAATCGAGAGGTTACTTAAAAGTCCATTTGTAGATTGGGTTTCACATTCTACATTTTTTAATACATTACTTGCATTGTTTCTGTCCCTGTTTTTGTGGACATTTGAGATGGACTACTACTGTGTTCATTCTGTAATAAATATGTTTGAAATGTGAAAAAGCATTTTAGGACGTATAAAAGTAAAGTAAACAGGGAAATTTCTTGGTCTAGTTCTATCTGTATGTTCACATGTGTAGCTTCAATGTGCTAATCATTTTTTGCACACAAAAACCTTTGATCATTACACCCTAGTTATAGTGTTTTTATCATTAATGCAAACACGATGCATGCTGTTCATAATGACTGCTCGGAGATCCAGACAAGAGGTCTATACACTCTGGTGGTGGCAGCATCGTGCTGTGGAGCTGCCTTTTACAGCAGTTGCAGTAACAGGGCACTCTTGGAACTGCTCTGCATCTAATGTGATGGAGCTTGAGCTGGCAAATGTTTCTCGGAGGTTCCACAAATTATGAACTTATGGAGGGTGAATACTTTAGTCAGCGCCTTAAAAGGGCTCTAACGTTATTAAAAACACATTAACATAAAACACATTAAAAGCATATATTTCCCACCTTTGCAATATGTTTTTGTGTTATAGATAAGTAATAAATCAGTAAAATAACCTTTTAATATCAACGCCTCTGATTGGCCAGAAAAATGATGACGTACTTAGAGGGGTCGCAGCTCTCGCCTCACTGTCTATGGCATTGCTCCTGCTGCCGCTTTGACACAAATAAACCTTAAAATGGGTGTATTTTGTATGGCCCCGGGATGCAGCAATTAAAGTAACAAAAAGAAGAGTGTAAACAGCAGTCCCTACGATCTTTGACTTATTCAGAGAAGGCGACGGTCCAAACAAACTGAGAGAAGACACCAGCGCCAGTTCCATGAAATTAGTTCTATCAAGCTCCAACTAAAAACAATTTTACGAGTTTCAACCCAGTATTCAGCAGAAAACACAACAACTGTCATTGAACCATGAATCCATGTTTCACTCTAACTACGTTTAGTAAAAGATATAGATATGACACATACCATCATGTTTTAGACTTTAGAACCACAGACACACGTTTAGCATAAAACTTTAGAACCACAGACACATGTTCAGTATAAGACCATAACACTACATGTTTGCATTTGATTGAAGACACTCACCATTTCTCTCAAACTCAACATCTGGAGCTGGGACACAGAGTTGAGGCTTCTGAGTTGCGGGTATTGACGTGTTAGCTTGTTAGCTGGTGTTAGCTTGTTAGCTGATGTCCGTAAAAATAGTGTCAATCCATGTTGTCAAACCACCTCCAGACTTTTCAGTTCTGTCCGCTTTTACGGCTGGGATCTTTCATTTCACGGTAGTCACTTTTATGCTTCTAAACTTTTCTCTGCACTGCGATGTCCCTGATGTACTCCTTCGTCCCTAGCGCTACCTTCGCTAACACTTAGCTATTTACACTCACTCGGGTGCACCATCGAGCTCAAACTGACCGCATCCGCAAACCGGGTTGAGACGGGTCGGACCCGGTCAGACCATAAATCCATACTCCAGCCCATGGAAACGGCCCTAATGTCCGCAAATGTCCATTTCTTGCAGATTGCTCCTCATCTGAACCGAGTCAGAGTCCTCAAAATCATAATTACTGTCAAGCACATACACTCCAAATGTCAGCAGTCCCAGCTCTGGGGGCCAGAGCCCCGAAGCTTCTGGATACAAGACCATCAACACCAAGATAGTCACGCCCTCAACGGTGCGGTAGGGGGCACACCGTGTGAGGAGGCGCACAGGATGCGCCGGCGCTATTCCTTGGTGGCAGTGGCATGGGTGTGAACAGACAGACAATGGTGGAATGCAGGTACATCAGATGCAAGTACGGAAAGACCACGAAGGGTGTGAAGACGAGCAGGGACCTTCACAAAGCTAAGCATGGCATCAGAAGTCGTCTGCATTGAT